GCGCTGCAAGTTGTGCCGCTCGCCGGCGAGCGAACGGACGATCGCGCCATCCGTGGTTGTCGTCGCTTTTTCAAACTTTTTTGAACAAAGGAAGAGGGGGGAGAGGGGAGGCACGCACAGTGGTCTATCCACCCTCTCTTATATTGTAGTTGCTGACAGCCGCAGCACATTATGCATTAACTCTGATTCTCGCTTTCTTTGAATTTTGAAACGAGAGTGCCGCCCAAAACCTACCTGGTTCGATCTTTGATGCATGGAGGACATGTGTCCTAGCATAACATGGTCAGAGCTGCCGCTAGAATGCAGTACACATCCATGATAACCAAAGTGTTTCAGTCGTATGATAAAATCGCAGTTTCAGATCTTCCCAAAATTTACTAGTCAAAATAAAAATACAAAGAACATCACGTAAGCAAAACAGACATCATATACGCTGAAACTCCATGTAGCCAACTAATTTATTACATCAGGTTTAGTACACTTGTTCATCAGAGTACACACATTGATGTCATCTCACTACAGGTACCCATATGAAATGGTGTTCAGGGCATCAATTTAGCACAAGAGAAACATGCACACCCCCTGGAAGTGTGGCCCAAACCCCAGAGAAATGATTTTGCAAAACACAGCGCGGGAATCCCTTGCTTCATATTTGGAAATGAAAAAAAATAAAAGATCACTGCTCTGCTAAACCAAGTGGTCGCTTGCAGGTGTTTCGTCGATGACCTTCTATTCCGCAGTTCTTGCATTTTCCTGGCTTCCTCGGCTTCTTTGGCGCGTCACCCCTCTCCAGGCATGTCGTCCTTTTGTGACCGACGACAAATGATGCAGAACTTGGTTCGCTTGCTTAACCCTTCGTACGGGGCTTTGTCTCTGCTGTTTGTCGGCCTCCCTGCGCCTCTTTGCCTGTTGGGGCCTTCGAGGCCGTGGAGGCCATTGACACTACCAGAACGCCCAGCACTATGACATTGCCGTGCAACACTCATAGCAGCCGCATTTTCCATATTCCCATTGCTCCTTGCTTCAGCTCTTTCGATGAATCTATCCTCAAATGCCAGACCATTCCCACTAGCTGCCAACGGTGCCCCACTCACCAGGAGAGCTTCCAGGCCTGCATGCATATGCTCATAACATGCAGCACTTGCATCGCCCATCCGCGCGACTTCCATGGCTTTCAAGTACAGTGTTGCATGCCTACATGTGAATGATAAGTTAACTGAGTTATCTTTTTTGGTACTGGACCAAATGCTCCGGCAATATATCCCTTGCGTCTCTTGTCCATCGCTTAACAATGTGATGCTGGGGTATCTCCTCAAGATGCAGGATCTCCATCATCTGTGCAAGCAGACAAAGTGTTAGTATTCATTACACACGTAATTTCATTTCCGTACCCACAGGAATAACCAAAGCGACAGTGGCTCACCCTCAACGCGTGGCAGCCCAACATCCCAGTGTGCTCGAATTGGCCACATTCACATGTAAATATTGACTTGTCTTCGTTTATGGTAACCTCATACTCAACTCTGCTCCACTTCTCCCTTTTTCCTGCATTGTTGTGAGTGGTCTTGTACTTCCGTAGCCTCTCAACTTCAGTTACATTGTAGGCTGTTCCTTCAACTAGAAGGCACCCAAATTCCTCAAACATACTCCTAGTATATATTCCGCTGGCATGACGTTCTATGGCAAGGTTCGTACGTCTCACAAGACCACCCTGTAATTTGCCAAAAGGAGGACATAACCAAATCAAATGAATTATTTTTTGCTGGTAAGTATTGCAACTGACATGTTCCATTTACAGTACCAGACACATCAACTTTTTGTTTTCAGAAAGTGAATGCAGCATAAAGAAATTATCATTCTAGACAAAAAAACACTCACAATCATGGTCCTCTTCTCTTCATAGCTCTCGTCACGTTCGCGGTCGAACTGCAACCGCATGTACTGCCTCACAAAAACATGCATTGGGCTTGCTGGGGGCATACAAGTTTTCAACATGTGGTTTGCGCTTTCACTCCGCTGTGTGCTTGTCATTTTTGCACAAAACACACCCCAGAAGTAAGGATTCACCCATTTTCTCCTAGTTTCATAAATCTTAGTCATGTATGCGTGACTCCTGAGGTTATACTTATCCAGCAGCTGCCCCCAAGCTGCTTCAAACTCTTCTTCAGTTAAACATGTGGTTCACAACCTTGTGGAATTCTCCCTGGAAATCGCTCTTCTTCGTGGAAAGCGGACCCAGTGTTTCTTTCGCCTTTTTTAGGATATGCCATTTGCACCACCTTTGTACAGTCCCTGGATATGTCTTCCTTATCGCCAATTCCATGGCTCTGCATTGCTCTGCAATTAAAATGGCACGTCTTACTATTTTTAGTACTAGTAATTATAAACTTTATGCTGGAAATACATTGGGCTATACATACTGACCTGTCAATATGGTCGTTGGTGCAGGCCCGCCCATCAGACGTATAAATTCAGCAAACACCCACTCAAAGCTTTCTTCTTGCTCATCCCGCATCAACACCCCCGCAAATATTATACTTTGATAGTGATTGTTAACTCCCATGAATAGACCAAATGGCATGTCATACAGGTTTGTCCTGTAGGTTGTGTCGAATGTGACCACATCACCAAAGAACTTATACTGCATTCGGCTGCTCCCATTAGCCCACATCAGATTTTTCACCTTGCTGGACTTGTCTGCCAACACCACATACGTGAAGCCAGGGTCGCTCGAACGGATGTCAGCAAACACTTCCAGTGTCTTCCACACATCATCATCGGCCTGCTCACGGCTAATTTTGCCACATATATTCCTCAGAGTCCTTTTCATGAAGGGCACCTTCTCAACTGAGACAAAGAAGCTGTCAATTATACTATAGACCTTTCCCGGATTCACATTATTTTCCCTCAGCTGCCTAATCAAGTCCTTTGTGTACACATCGATATGTTTGTGTGACGGCCAGTGCACCTTCTCTCCCATTGTCAGCGACATCGAGTGGTTGTGGCTCTCGCGGTGTTCTGTAATGTACCAGCTGTTATCCGATGCACGTAGAAGTCTGATCAGCGCCGGGCATTCGCATCTACATGACCTGCTGTTCTCAACCTCTGGTTTCTCCTGCAATACCATCATGAGCGAGTAAAGTATTTCAAGTCAGTTCATGCTGATGCTAATGCTTGTACAAACAACATGGCTTCAGAAATAAGTTCTACTGCCTTACCGAGAACCACATACGATTTCTTGCATGCACTTCGTTCTTTCAGCATTTAGAAGGCTCTTGCCGTATCTTATTCCAAATCCGACCTTCCACGAATACAGATTGTAGAAATCGTATGCCTTGCCAAAAGAGTCGAAGCTAAGGCCTAGCTCTGGTCGCACGACACTTTTGTCAGGCTGCTCTGGATACTTGCGCATCAAAAGCTCGAGTGCACTCATCCGGGATGGGCATGGGACCCTGTCCGGCGTCGCACTGCCAAGGCGAAGCCTGCATTTTGCAAGTTGACTCATTCTTCAGAACTAAACTCACAATCACAATCACCACTGTATTTTTCAACATACGAAATAAAATTTCTGGGGACCTATCACGAAATCCATTTTTCCATGTGTGATATCCTCTTGCAAAACCGTAATAACTACCATGGGTATTAGCTATTTACAAAGAAACAAACTAGAAATAAATAATACTATATCATACCGTTTTGTCCAGCCAGGCGCCTCCGGATTCACCCTATCACTCGACTGTGCTGACCTCGTCGGAGAATCAGCATGTTTCCGGCGAGACCCTACTACCGCAGCGCCATCTCCATCTCCCCCAACATTCTCAGCCAAAGCAGATCCATCGTCTGAATCTGCACCATCCACATTTCCCCTCCTCCCACCATTCTCCAGCAGGAAATGCAATGGAACGGGATCCGACTGCTCAAGGTTGTTGGCGAATTACTCTCTTATTGGGAACCTGTGTGAGAACCAGTGCACATATCGAGGAAAAAGAGATGGTTTTTTAAGATCGTTGCTTGCGGCAGGGAAATCATACAAGGGGAAACCATATATTTGTTTTGATCCTAACATGTCAACTGCATCCAGTAGGAACTCCATGCCCGCAGTATCCATCTGAAGGTTCTCCGGCGACTGCGCACAGGGCGGCGCGGTCGAGCTCGTCTCTCCCGCTGCTCCACTCTCTCTCTCTCTCTCTCTATCGTGGGCGGCGGCGAGAGGGTTCCAGAATGAGCGAGACAAGGGAGATGGGGGAACCCCATTTTTTTCTTTTTACTCGCACAGGTGGTCAGGCGGAGGGGCTGGGTGGTGCCTACCGGCCCGACAAACGGCTCAGTCGTCAGCTTCCAAACTGGACCCATTATCTGATCCGAGGCCCAGACAGAAAAGGTGACGTCCTAGTCCACGGCCCAGTCCGCGCGCTACCGCCGTTCGTCTAACGCTCAACCGCGGCCCGAGCCGTACGCCACTGTGACTTACCGTATTTCCTTGTATGCTCGATTTACCGCGGCGCGCGACTGGCAGGCCAGCTGGAATTGCTCGCATCCCGAGCCAGATATGGACGAACGTGATATCGAGCTCAGTTGAGCCCGGGCTCCAAATCGCCCCTCTCGAAATGAAAGCCTTAATTACGTTCTTTTCAAGTACTAGTAGAGATAGTTCTATGACAGTCATGGATTTTATTGGGTATATATAGCTGCTGGAGATGCTCTCATACAAACTATCATTCGCCTGCCCGAATAGAGGCGGCAGTACTCATGTTGCTCACGGGCATGATGGGCCACGCGTCGTCGACGGTTTCTGATCCCATCCCGTCCTTCGATCCGCCAGTGTACAAATGCGTAACGAACTTCCTTTCAAGAAAAAAGAAGTGTGTAACGAACAACTGTGTAACCAACGAAATATCCCCGACATGTACGCGCGGACACCAATCCCCAGCGCTCCCTATTTATACACGCACCGCGCGCGCGCGTCCACTCGCTACCTAACTGCCACCCCCGATCCATCGATGAGTCCCACGTCGCCTCGGCAGCCCGGCTTCGGCGCCGGCGGGCAGCGCCAGCAAGCCGCCGCCGCCGCCGCCACCACTCCGTTCAAGATCCACAGGGACTCCCACCTCATACACAAGGGCGCCGCGGCCGGCGCATCCGCGTCCTCGCCGCCCTCCTCCTCGTCCACCAACTCCTCCGTCTCCTCCTCCCCCGGCGTCGGCCAGCAGCGGCCGGCGCCGAGGCCGAAGCAGCAGCAGCAGCAGAAGCAGCCTGTCATCATCTACACGCACTCCCCCAAGGTGATCCGCACCAGCCCGCGCGACTTCATGTCCATCGTGCAGAAGCTCACCGGCCTTGAGAGCGCCGCCGCGTCAGCGGTCACCGGCGCCGCGCAGGACGAATCGTCGTCGTCGTCGACGGAGAGCTGCGCCAATGCCCACGCCAGTGCCGTGCCGCCGCCACCGCCTCCGCCCCAGTACATGGATCCACCTCAGCTAATGCCGCCGCCGGCGCAGCTGGATCACGCGCACTTCATGCCGGACATGCCGCTGTTCGCGCCCTCGGAGCATCAGCAGCACATGCTCTGCGCCTCCAGGGGCGGCCTCTACGGCCACTTCGCGCCCACGGTGGAAGCCGTGTCGCTCGGCGGCCCGGCGAACATGCACGACGGCGCCGCCTCTGTGGGGTGTTCTCCCCGTCCATGGTGGAGGCGATGAGAACGGCATATCCGGATTACCAGTTAACTTAATCGACGTGCATGAACTAGGCGATGATCGATCACGACGCATCGATCAATGCAATAATCGGAGCTAGTTTGTCTTTATTTTCTTCATGTTTTCTCATCTTGCTTCATGTCGAGGAACGTACGTGCAGAGACAAGAGAGGTGAAGGATTGACTGGCCTGGCCGGTGCATGTATGCATGCAGGACAATCCGTCGACGTACGTCGCAACGCATGCATGCATGCAAGGCTGGCTGAGCTCCAGATCTCCCGGTTAATTACTCTATTTTTGTTAGCAAAAAATACTAGTACCAGTAGATGCAGTTCCCAAATCCAACCATGCATGGCTTTCATCATGTGTATTTTTTTTCTTTGTCAGAATTAGTTCCTCTGTTTGATCATTTTAGTTCCCTCGTGTGTGTCCTCGGTCAAGCTGATTAGAGTAGAGTTTTTTTAGCTGATTACGGTAGAGGCTTGGTTATCATTTTCCCACTGTATCTGTGAATAAATAAGCTGCAGAATTGCTGAAAGGAATTGTCGATTCTCCTATCAATCGATGTAAGTCGTGAATGAATGATACATTTTTCAGGGTTTTTGGCACATTCAGGGAAATAAATAGATTTTTTTAGGGGTTATAAATGGATTATATATATTACTCAATCTTCACATTCCTATATCTGCTTTATTTAATTCAGACCACCAGGCCAGCCCATCTTAAGATTCTACTATATGAAAGTAAGGGCATCTTCAAGGCGGACCCGCAAGCTGCCCGCGTCCGTCCGTACCACGGAAGCCATCCAACGCCGGCCTGTATTGGTCCGTGGGACGGTCCGGACGCGATTTCTCCCGTAAAACATAGACACAAGTGGAGGAGCTTTGCGGGAGTCCGGACACGCGAAACATAAGAATTCGACACCCGAGGCCCACCCAAAACCCTTCCCCGACCCCGCGACTCCATCCTCCCTATTTTCTCCACTCCCTTGTTTCTCTCTTGTCGTCGCCAGCGCTCCACCACCCCAGCCTCCACGCCACACCCCTGCTGGTAATCCGCGTCTCCGTCACCTCCGGTGCTCCAGCAGGGCTCCGCGCCGCTTCTCCTCCGTCTCCGTTCAACCCTCTGTCCTCCGACCGCCCCGCCAGGTACCATACTCTATCATGCCGAGCAACTGTTCGATGAATCGCTGGAGCTGAAAACAGTTGTCCCTTCTTCTTTTTAGCAACGGATTCTGATTTGGAGTACATATACAAGCAGTATGTTGAGTCGTCTGACGGCTCATTCGACGAGGAGTACTACGATGAGACGACGATGATGCAGGTGGTCCTTGAAGACGCGGAGCGTGCGGAGGAGCATGTTCTCAAGTTCAAGGGCTCAATCAAGGTTCATCGAGTGCTCAACCGCAACAGGGCGCACGGGCATTTGACACTGATGGCCGACTACTTTGCCCCCGATGCACTATTCGCTGACCATTTTTGCCGGCGTTTTCAAATGCTCAAGACTGTCTTCGATCGTTTGTACAATGGTGTCCAGTCCTACGATGACTACTTTATCCTAAAGAAGGACGTCGTGGGAACGATTGGCTTCTCTGGTTACCAGAAGTGCATAGCCGCACTCCGGATGCTTGCATATGGCACGTTTGCTGATTCATGGGACGAGTACCTACGGATGTCTGAGAGCACATGCGGAGATGCCATGGTCAGGTTTGCAACTGCCGTGGTCGAGGTGTTTGGACCTCAGTACCTGAGAGAACAAACTGTGGTAGACAGGGAGAGGCTCCTGACAATCTCATAAGCAAGAGGGTGGCCAGGTTATTTGCTTGGATCTCTTGACTGCATCCATTGGAAATGGAAGAACTGCCCGAAGGCTTTATGTCGCGGGATATCCGCGGCCACCTATGGGACCGGGTGGCCCCTTGCTGGTTCGGTGCGGGGAGGTCGCGTTGCACAAAGAGCAGATAAGCGTACAGCAGCACGACAAAGGGAACACAAGCAATTTACCCAGGTTCGGGCCGCCACGAGGCGTAAGACCCTACTCCTGCTTTGGTGGATTGATGGTGGAATGAGCGTGGTGATGCGTAGTACACTTGCCCGGCAAGGTTTGCCTCGGGGACGCAGCGACTACGCGCGTATGGTGGCTTGGGTTCATCAACTTTTCAACCCCTCCTACGAGTGCCATGGGCCTCATTTTATATATTAAGGGGTCACCACAATGGCAAAGTAGTCATTATCCACTGGTATGATAGCGAACAGTGCTATCATACCTAACTCTATGGGCTGACAAGGTGCATTAAATGCGCCGCTTAGTGTCACATCACTAGTCGCCCGGCAAGGCTTGTCGGGCTATCTTGCCAGCTCCGCGCATGTTCCCTTGACACGCCGTAGGACGGGTGTCATCTGTAGGCTTCTTCTGTAGAAAATGGTTGCCATGTGGCGAACGGTTGCACTTAATCATCTTGCGGCTTAATACCACACTGATTTACGACGTGGGCCGTGCTTGAGTGGTTGGTGGGGTGGTTCTGCCCCCGCGAGCCCCGGTAGACCTTGCCGGGATGCCTCGGTTGCCTGCTTCTTGCGGTGGCCTTGCCCCTTGCCGGGCTCGCCTGCCCGGCAAGGGAGGCCCTTCTCTTGTCGATATCTTGCTCTTCTGGCTCGATCTTGGTCTCTCTGGACTGCGTGTTGGTTCTTCAAATCTCTTGGTCCTTCAATCACTGACTTGGGTTGGTGCTTCAATCTTGATCTCGTGCCTGTGCACAATCTGGGCAACAGACCCAGGGTTTGTTGCACCGACAGAAGCCCCCGGGCCTGCCCCGAACACGCCGCTGAGTGTCGTCGGGGTAGGGCCTAATAAGTGCACATGCAAGGTTGCTGAAGGGGTTGGCCCCTTGAGTTTTCCATTGCTGCTTCATCAGCCTTGATTCTGGGCCAGTTTCCAGTTTTCTCGTGCGTGATATAAAGCCAATAGTGGTGGGGCCGCTCCAGTGATGACCCGTGAATGACTTTAACGCACGGGGTAGAAACTGCCAATTTACTCTTCCCACAACGCGCCCTTATCCTTAGCCACGTATGCAGCATGCATCGCGCGGGGTAGGTAACGGAGGCGCGTGGCGCGGGAGAGTACCTTGGAAAGGGCCCACCTGTCTTGAATTGGCGGAAGAGGGTGGTGATCACCCGTGGATGGAGCAGCTGCCCTTCCCCGCCCGACCTATAAAAAGGGAGGGGCTGAGGAGGGAGGAGTCACCCACGGGTGATCACAGCCTGGTGCCAGCCCCCGGGCTTTGGCTTGGGGCATTTGTTGCCTCATGCCGGTGCTGATGCTTGGGGAGTGAGCCTGGTCCTTGGCGTGGCGAATCTTTTGGTATCTTCGATGCTCATCCGGGAGAAGGGGCCGGAGATCATTGGCAATCCCAGCATCGCCCCTCCTGGAGGTGTTGGGGCCAATGTCGACGAGAGGCACGTCTTCCTGCCCGCCAAGGTGGGGTGCGACGCGGCTCAGACCGCCTTTGTAGCGGAGCCAGGGCCGACGCCGAAGAACACGCCCCCTCCTAGTCCACCAAAGCAATGGTAGCACTGCATGTCCGTTGTGGGCAATGCCGCTACCATTTCTTCTTTCTAGGAGGGGTGACGGGCTTGCTCGTCACCTTGGGCAGCTCCTGGGTGCACACCACCTGCGGATCACAGTGGGTGACCACCCCACCGGTCCCTTCATTGCCTCCTTTTATTCTCCTTTCCCTCCTGTTCCAATATCCTGGGGAGGAGGAGCAGAGAAAGGAAAAGAGGGGTTACAGGGTACTTATCTTTTTCCAATCTTAAACTTGTAGGTAATCGCCAAATTTTAATTCAAATAATGTAATCCGTTGAGTCCATCTTTGTGTTCTGTAATGCTTGTACTTGTGTTTGCATATGAATGAAAAATATGAGTCCTGCCGAGAACCCATGCATATGTATGTCCATGCAGAGGTGGAATGCCACTTTAATGTAAATAAACGAGTTTTCCCCGGCAGGATATCCTGCCGGCACCCTCTTTGTCTGCCGGAGAACTACGTCTGCCGGGGAACATACAGAGGGGTCAGCCCCCCGCCAGCTCCCTTTTACCAAAGGCTACTGCGACCATCCTGACTGAAGCAATGTTCAAGTCATGGATGGGAGCACCTAAGTTTCAAAAGAAAGAGACGAGGCTTTCTCATGCAAAGTTATAGCTTTACAGAACACTAATGGACAGGAGGTAAACTTATCTGTTTGGCCTGCCGGGGATTGTTGTGCCACGCAATCTTCTCATCCCTTGTCAGAGTTAAGTTCACGACAGGAACCTGCAACTCCATGTAGATGAGAATGAATGCAAGATGAAATCCTATCTATATGCATATGCAAATGCTCATGAAATGCTTATGCAGTGATCTGGGTGTGCTCGTGCATGCATGCGATCTTGATTGGGGCCCCCCCACAATGCTTCTTTATTTTCTCTTGCACGGGTTCATCGCCCCGGCTTTGTACAAGGGGTTACATGCAACTGAGGCAAGGCCTATACAAAAGAGTGGTTGCCGGGCAGTGCCCAGCAGCCTCTGCCCGGCAGCCTCGCACCTTACAGGTAGTACTTACGGAGATGCTCAATATTCCATGAGTTTTGCAACTGAGTGCCATCCCCGGTCTCCAGACAGAATGGGCCAGGTCTGGTGACTCGTACCACCCGGTAAGGGCCTTCCCACTTCAGTGACAGCTTGTTTGTACCCTTGGTGGACTGAATGCGCCTAAGGACAAGGTCACCTTCCTCAAAACACCGGGCATGAACCCTGCGGCTATGATAGCGATGCAGGGCTTGCTGGTAGCATGCAGCACATGTAGCAGCCCAGAGACGGTTTTCCTCGAGTAGCACAGCGTCATCACGCCGGTGCTGATCTTGCGCTACTTCATCGTAGGCAAGCACTCGAGGGGACCCGTAAATGAGTTCCATGGGGATAACTGCTTCCGCCCGGTAGATCAGGGAGAAGGGAGTCTGCCCGGT